CACCTTCACCAGCTTGGCCGCTGGCCTCCTGGGCACCCTGCCCCCGAGGCTGTGGGCTTTCAGCCCATCCCGGGTTCCCGAGTGGGGGCACCTGTTTCTAGGGACCTGCTTTCCAGGGCGCTGCCACCTCTGATTTACTCCGCGCGGCGATAGTTTGTTTTCCCCTGCCCAGCGTGAGCCGATCCTCCCACAGTCGCGCCGCGGAGAATGGCTCGCTAAACTGCACCTGAGTCTCTCTGGGGTTTTGCTTTGGGGGCTTCTTGCAGATTTGCTCTCCTTGCAGCATTTGAGGGTCTTCTGAGCGAGTTGGCCTTTGGAGAGGAGAAGGGCTCGCGAGGCCGCGAGCAGTGTTTTTCCCACCCTTTTCTTGTTCCTCTCGTGTATTCCAGCAAGACGAGGCTCATGGTCGCAGAGCATTAGTCAGGAAGGGTAAGGCACGCCTTCGCTGTACCCCACTTAACAGAGCGTTAGAAGTGCAAGGAATCCAGGGGCTTGAGAAGTGAATTTCCTCACTAGCTCTGCGGTGGGACCTGATGTCACATGCTTGATGCTCTCCGGTGGTCTCTGGGTTCTGGGGCCACAGGACCTGTGACAGCGTGATTGGATTCGCCCTCTCCTGCCTGCCTTTCACCCGGTCTACACTGGACCCCCGAGGTGGGCCCAGCCTGAGCGCTGTCCCTCTGTTCCTCACTTCCTCTGTACTTGAGGCTGAGTCTTGCCTCTCAGAGGCAGGAACCTTTTCAGTCTTCACCCTTGTGATAAGAAAGGCCACAAGTTCTTTTCCTCCGGAACAGGCGCAGCCTGAGGAGAGCTGTGTAGACTTCCTTGGTACCTTCCTGTGTCCCCAGCTCCCTGAGTGTGGGGGGGTCTTCAGCAGGATTGGAATTGGGTTCTTGGGCTCATCCCCCTTCCTCACTTGGGCTTTGCCTTATTGGTTTAGGATCCTGTGACACCATGTCTCAGATCAGTCTTGATTATCTCTGCTTGAGCTGATCAAGAAGCTTGGAGATAGGGATGGAAAAGAGAAAATAAACACCATGTACACGAGTACTATTTTCCCTCTTTCCTCTGAGAATATGGTTTTCAAACTTTGAGATCCATCCTAAGGAATACATTCTGCAGCACTGTACCCAGGTCCACAACTGAAATAAGTTTCAAGAAACTTTACTACTTGCAGTGTGCTCGACTTAATTTTTTTCTACATTAAAAAAAAAAAAATCAACTGCTAGTCATGACTCATTAATTTGATTTCCTAACCAAACAGGTCATGACCCACAGTTAGAGAAACATTGGTTTGTGGCAGAGGTCCCCAAACTTAAATATGCGTAAAGATGACCAACCCAGTTAGTGTTTAAAAATATAGTTGGTAGGGCCACTCCAGAATTGCTTATTTTCAAGTAGGGCACAGGCATCTGCATTTTAAATAAGTATCCATGAGGTCATGATGCAGGTGGCTGGTTAGAAACTGATCTGGTGGGAGTTGGCCATCAATGGTGAGCATGAACTTGGATATGAAATGCAGAAGTCGGTGTATGGCCCACCCTCCAAGCCCAAGGTCACTCGGCTGCTGACCACAATAAGCTTGGGTTTTGAAAAGTGCAGGGGCACAAGATGGTTTGTTTTCAGCTGCCATGAAGCAGTTGGTGGTGAGAGACTGGCAGCCCTCCCTGCTCCAACCGTCTGGGCTGAGGGCTGCTGCTCTCTGCTCTGCACAGCTGGATGTTTCTAGGTACATGGGGGCTGGGCTGGGAGCTGTGCTGATGAGTTGCTGTTCTGGTCACAGATTATGTGAGTTTTCCTTGGCATAATGATGTTAATGGTTTTTGAAGCAGCAGCTCAGTCATTGTTCCCCAGGGGAATCACAGTTGGCCAGCCGGAGAAAGGGTTGATTTTATTTACTATCTGGACTGTGTATCCCCTGGGGAAAGTCAGGCCGATGGTTTTGTTTTTGTTTGGGGGGTAGGGGAGTTGAGGCTTGTCTGTCATCACATGTTAATAAGACTCGAGTTCCCACATTTGGTTGCCTACTTAGCTTCTGTCTCGGACAGCACAGCTCCTGTGTGCAGGTGGATCTTGTTAGTCATCCAGCTTCTGATGCTGTTACCTGTGCCTTCAAGCGTAGACACATATACACCTGATGCAGCCACGCATTTGATCTCCCCCTACTTACAGTGTCCAAACATGTTGGTAGAAGAAGTTTCTTTGGATTAATCAAAGCTGCAGTTTAGTTTTTAAAAGGACTTAATAGTCCAAAATCAAACTATGCAAAATCAACTATGGCCCTTTTATATGGCAACTTTAATAAGTCCATTTTGGCCCACAGCTCGTACTGAGAATGTTAGGGTGAGCGTATGGAAAGCCAGAGTGCAATAGAAGTATGGCAAGAGGTAGGATATGGCAGGATAGGAAAAGCAGAGGGAAGAGATGTTCAGGTGAGATGCAAATGGAAGGAACAGGATCCATTCCCTGTGGAAATTAACTCAGCATTTCCCTGGGGACCATCCCCTGAACCAGTAAGCTCAGCTCAGACAAGCTCTGGAGAAAATGAAGAGACCTGCAGGGATGGAGAGCCAGCCAGGGCCCGTGGGCTAAAGCCATTTTGTTAGAGTTGACACTTTTCAGTGTATTGTGCTTAACAGAAGGCAATGCCAGCAGGCGTGATGGCACGGGTCTGTAATCCCAGCACTTGGGAGGCTGTGAGTTCGAGACCAGCCTGGGCTACATAGTGAGTCCCGGGTCAGTCTCACCTACATAGTGAGACCCTGTCTCAAAAACAACAAACAAACCAAAAGAACCAAAACCGTAACAAAAGGCAGTGTACACTGGAGTCTGTCATGGACTGCACCTGGCTGAATTTCCTGGGAGCTGTGGCTGCGGCTCCAGAGGGCTTAAAAGTAAGTCCAAGTCTACTGCTGCTCTCCTGTTTAGAGTTTGCCAGGGGTCTCCCCTGCCCTTCAAGGGTGACCCAGCCCCTTTCTCGAGGCTGTATGCTGTCTGCCTCTGCCTGGCTTCCCCATCATCTCCCCATCAGGCGTCTGGAATATGCTGTGAGCATGTGGTCACAGGGTCTTTCTCTGTTAGTCCCTCTTCCCAGGATGCCCCTTCGCAATTTTGTGTGACTGACTCCCTCTCACTTGGGTCTAGAGGGTGCTGCCCCCAAGCCCCCGCCTTGACTTTATTTTTTTTTTTCAGAGCACTTGAATATTAACTGAAATGTGTTGTCACCTTGTTTAGTGGAACAGAGGACTTGAGAGCTTTTCTGAGTTGCTCGGTACTGACAATAATTAGCACTGAATGGCACTGGGTAAAATGCCTGTTGGTTGAATGAATGAATGACCAAGAGAGCCAGAGTTTAAAGTTTCTGGAGTAGGACATAATACTTTATTTCTAAGGGAGGAAGAGGAAAAGATAGCCGTTTTCCCTTTTCCTGGGTGAAGATAAAATTCTCTAATCCCAGCATTTTGGGAGACTGAGGCAGAAGAATTGCAAGTTTGAGCCCACCCTGGACAATTTGTTGACTTTGTGAGACCCTTGTCTCAAATTAAAAAATGGGAGAAAGGTTAGGGAGGTAGCTCAGTGTGAAGGCCCTGGGTGTTATTTTATTTTAATTTTTTTGGTCCTGGGGATCGAAT